AAGATGAAAAGTGTGCATTAAAAAACTTACAAATTATCTCCATCAAACTTTCCCACATATGTCAACAACATTTTCTGCTCCTTGGTGAGATGAACCATTTTATTGTTTTTCTTTACATAGTCAGCGTAAGCATATCCGCAGCTCTTTATTTTCCTCTTCCCCCTTGCAACCTTTACAACTCTTTTATTCTCTGTTAACTCACTGTCTTAACAACTGGCCGCAACAGTAGCATTTAACTCATTATTTTCCTCGCCACTTAGCAAAAGACTGTGAGTTGGAGTAGAACAACTCTCATTCTTTTCACCCTACTCCTCCTCATCATCATCATTACACTCTTTCTCACTTATTTGATCAGTTTCCTCATTTTTGCTTCTTTCATTGCCATTGCCAGACTCTCCATCATTTTCTTCATCGTCACCTTCCTCATTGGCCTTATTGCCATCCGCAGAGTCTCCATCACTTTTTTCATCATCAGCTTCCTTATTCTGACAATTAGTTTCTTCATCCTCAACTTCTTCATCCACACTTTCTTCATCCTAAACTTCTTCATCCTGAACTTCTTCATCCCCACTTGATTCCTCAACACGGTCAACATCATCATTATTACCATCTCCATCACTTGGTTGCCCACCCAACCCATCATTCTTCTCTTTGTTCTCCCTTGACAGTCTTGCTTTTTTTCGCATGTCCCGCTTCTTGACGGCAGATAACATTTTTGTTAGGCTTATTTTGGATTTTAATACATTGAATTCAGCCATTTGTATGTCCATTCACACTTTAGTTATGCAAGCCTGTGAAAAATAAGGAAAATTAGTTCACATAACTTTTGCAAACATATCTTGTAAATAGAGAAAATGTATTTTACAACACAATTACCTCCACATCCGAGTCAGAAAAATGATAATCATCAAAATCAATGTTTAAAGAAGGGCCAAAACCATCTTCGGCTGGCACATCATTATCACTGTTGCTGCTGCTACATGCCTTCAGCTTTAGAGGGATCAACTATTTCCATTCCATATTTAGATAACACTAGTCTATCATCAAATTATAATATATATATATATATATATATATATATATATATAACTATTTTCAACAATACAAAATACTATTCGTAAATAGACATGTCCATAGATGACAAAAATAATTACCTGTCCATGTCCAAAACCTTCATTACCCATCTCCCATCTGATTCGTGATCGTACAACCTCTGAGGTCTAAAAACCTAAGCTTTTAATATCTCCCTCAGGATAAGCTCGGTATTGCGTATCATAACGCATCAGATAAAGCAGCTGATTTAAAAGACCAATAATTAAAGTAAATATTTCTTCTATTTCATAAAATTAATATGTAATTCACACACATTTTAAAGGCAAATGTATAAAAATCATAACCAAGGATACTTGCAAAAGAATCATACAACCACCGTATGACTTTTTCAGCTTCCCGTCTCCAAATGGTTCCAGGGTTCTCACTAAACAATCACGGACATATCCGCACCAGTTGTAACTGCTAATTGTATTCACATTATCCACAGTTTTCAACAAGCCCCGATGACAATTATTATGACCGGTGGGACTGAGTACAGTACTGCAAGCAAATAGCACAAACGCTCGCTTGAATTCATCCATTCCCCTTACCGTTAAAACCTGCTCTAACAATACATCTTGGTGCATCCGACCAGCTTCCTTATAACCACCTTCATCTATCCACTTAGAATCAAGATACTGATTATTTTTCGGCACTTTTGGAACACCAAATGGTATGCTAAGGATCGAGTGGATATCAGCTGAATGGATGGGTATATAACCTATGTCCTCAACTTTTATACAACATTTTTCAGAGTCAATTTTTTTTATTAAATACATACATAACTCCCGGGACAAAAAAGAACATTTAAGTTCCAGCAATTTTCCAAATCCAAGCTCCTCAACAACCTTTATCTTTTCCTCATCAAGCTGTGACACTGCTTTACGGAACTTGGAAAGAGAGCATCTGTGCTAGGCACCTTGGGTCCGATTGATCTTTTCCTTTTTCTTCTGCTTCGAAGGCATATGATTATAATACATCATGCATACATTCTGGGTTTCATCATCAAATAAAATATTTACATTAAAATTTTATCACCCTTTTTTTTTTTGGGCCTTTCTTTCTTCAAGAAGCTTGTCGTACTCTTCCTTTCATCTTGTACACTCCCTGATCCATGGTTCTTTATTAGCAGCAGACTTTGCATTCCATGTCTATCTAGCAGATTTGTGCACCGCAAGCATCACTGCCTTCGGTAACCTGTCATGTTTTGAGTGCTCTTGCTAGTACTTTCTAATGCACTCGGCCCTTCATGTATGCATTGCATATTATCACAACTTATTTTACATGTATCATGTATGAATTGTATATTGCATCAACATATTTTTCTAACACGTTAAAACAATTAACTATGCCAACTCAGTTTCACAATTCATAAATTAATAATAAAAACCACAAATACTTTCAACATATATGTACGAAGATTTGCATATTTCATCACCTACTATTTGTAACGCAATATAATACAAAAGTTGGACAGATCAATTTATTATGCTCACAACTTATCTAAACATGTATCATGTATGCATTTAACTTATTATTTTTATTGAATCAACATATTGACCTAACAACTTAAAAAAATTAACTTCCACAACTCAATCTCACAATTCCTAAATTAATAATCACAACCACAAACACTTTCAGTATATGTAGGGAGATTTCATATTCGGAAACAACAAATTATTATTATCACAACTTTTTAACACATGTATCATATATCAATTGCACATACCATCATAATATTTAGCTAACACGTTTAATAAATTAACTTCCAAAACTTATTTTCACCATTCTTAACCATAAAATCTGAAATAAATTCTAAACCCTTAAACAAACAAACCGATACATAATCAATGTTAACCTATACATTAAGAACACTGTGGGAGGCCGGTTCACCAAGTCCTGCTCGCCACCGGAAATACCAACACTGCTTCGTCCTTCACCTGAGGTTTGTCCTTCATATGAGACATTTTCTGTTTTAGTGTCATTGGTAGAAATTGACTTCTTCTTCTTAGATACCTGGAATGTACGTTTATTGGATTTCTTCCTCGCTATAGATTTTAACCTATCCATTAAATTTTGAAATTTCCAACTTCAGACGAAGACGAAGACGAAGAGGAGACTACAGAAGTTGGAACGAAGAAGAACAGTCGAATTCCGCAAAGACGACGAGCAGAGGAGAGAGATTAGGGTTCTATAAATTTAACCCCAAAGGTAAAGTTGAAGGTAATTTTTAACAATAAAAGATTAAAAGTAATTGTAAATTATGTATTCTGATTTTGTATAATGTATAAGTGTATGGTGTAATAGTATAAGTGTATGGGGTATTCGTACATGTGGTAAATGAAAATTGTATATCAGTAATTTTTTTGGGTAAATGCCGACTGGGTGCTGATTGGGTGGTACGTGGCAAATGGGCTGAGGTGGTTTCACCTCAGCCTTTGGATATGCACTGGATCTGCTCCACTGAGAGGCGCACTGGAGCAGATTCGGATCCTACAACATTAATGTCTAATAAGGCATGTGAACGAAGTAAACCCATTCTGAATTACAATTACAGAACTATTTTTACTGAAAAATAGTAAACCCTACCTGAATTGAAAGACCCACATTCCAAAACCCATTTTATTATTTTACAGAATATTCATTCCGAACCCTATTTGATCTATAGAATTCAAGTTCGAAGCTTTTGAGAACACATAAATTGAAATTGATGTTGGAGGATGATGAATTGGATAAAAAATGGTGTTTTTTTTTTTTTTTTTTTTTTTTTTTTTTTTTTTTTTTTTTTTTAAGGTTAAACAAGCTCACACGCCTATGTCCCTACCGAAATTCAAATCTTTGACCTCTCTCATTTGGAGTGGTGGCCCTGGTGGGTTTGTACCAGATGGGCTATTGCCCTTCGGGATGCTTTGTTCGATGTGTTCACATTTTACACACTTGTAAAGTTGTAATTAGAATAAATGTAATTATAATAAATGTAATTATAATAATCTGAAAAGTTAACTAGAGAGGTGGTAACTGTAATTACCCTAAAAATAAATACCACACACTGATATCTTTAGGCTAATTATAATAATTAAACAATTGCTTACAATTTTTTTTTTTGGGTAAATTACACTTACACCCCCTGTGGTTAGGTCATATTACACCTATATCAACATTTTGGTTTTAGATTTCACATATATTTAAATTAGTGGTTTAACATTTCACCCACACCCCAAATGTCAATTTTTGATTGAGTTAGAGTACTTTGAGGTGTTAAAGGACTATACTACCCTTTGACCTCATATTGACTATTTTTTTGTGACCAAACTACCCATCACATTCACCACCGCCCCTCTCTCTGTGAACCTTCCTCTTTCCCTCTCCGCCTCTCTTTTTTGCCTCTATTTCCTTTCTCCCTCTCCCTCCTCCTCCTCCTCCTCCTCCTCCTCATTTTCTACCCCTACAGCTCTTTTCCCCTATATAAAAAACCCCTTCTCTCACAGGTCACAAACCCTCACACACAGATCCTTCGTTGAGGGTTTGAGAAAATGGAGAGAGGTAGCTATAGTCGCGGCGGTGGGGCGGGAGAGACGAAAGGGATTGATTCGCCGATGGCGACAGTTTGTCAGATCAAATGGCGACGATGGCAGAGAAGACGACAATAATGTCGAAGCCTCCGGCGGCGTTGAAAATGGTGGTACAAAGGCGAAGAAGTTGAAGCTGAAGAAGCCCCACTCTCACAAGTCACAAACCTTCACACACAGATCCTTCGTCGAGGGTTTGAGAAAATGGAGAGAGGCAGCTACAGTCGCGGCGGTGGTGGAGGTGGTTGCTGTGACGGCGGGAGAGACGGAAGGGATTGATTCGCCGATGACGACGATTTGTCAAATCAAACGGCGAAGATGGCGGAGAAAACGGCAATGATGTCGAAGCCTTCAGCAGCGTTGAAAATGGCGGTACAAAGACGAAGAAGTTGAAGCCGAAGAGACCAAAGCTTTCTGTATCCGACGCCGCGGTGAAGATCAATGCCTCTGATCTTTCTGTTTTTGGTTTTTTCTTTTTTGATAAGTTTTTTTTCTTTAATTAGATCTTTCTGTTTTTCTTGATGAAATATCTGTGAGTTTACGATTCTCTCTCTATATTGTATCAATTTGATTTGGTGGACTCTAATCTGTTGTTTGAAATTGTATTTGAATTCAATTTTGTGTTTGTTGTGTTCAAAAATTTGAATTCCGTTATGGTTTGTGTAGGCTTCTTATGAATCGCAGCAGGATATACAATTTGTGCAATTTGCCGACTATTTCGGTGGCGCATTTGCACCGGTTATTTCATCAAGAACTAGTGGCGGTGGTGTGGGATAGGGATAGGGATAAGGTTTTTTTTGTCATTTAAGATTACATATATTTTGTATTAAAAATTCGAGGGTAAAAGGGTCAATTCGCATGATTGGGGTGTAAGTGAAAATTAAAACCAAAATCTTCATCTAGGTAAAATATGACCTAACCTCAGGAGGTGTCGGTATATTTTATCCTTTTTTTTCCCCGACAAACAACAAACAGAACACTAAAAGACTCTCTTACGAGGATTAGCATCATTGTCAGCAACAAGACAGAATATTTCTATGTTTTTAGAATTTAAATATATAAACTGCTCGGCCAGAAGGCGTTTTCAACGCACTATGCTTCAGTCAGATTATTCTTTAGGCTTCTAATATCATATATAACCACCACTTTTTTTTTCAGCAACAAATCAATTAGTATTATTATTATTATTATTATTTTGACAAAAAACTCACAAAATCACAATTTATCCCTAAAAATTACTTGAACAGTTGAACCTTTGGCCTTTTACTTTAAAAGCTGAAGAAATTACGAATAGACTATAGCTCAGCTGGATAAAATCTCCTTAGTTATATATTTTTTCTTTTATCTTAAGGTAAGTCGAATTTTAGGACCAAAAAAAAAAAACAGAGGTTATGTGGAAACTTGAAAGCAACGCAGCCGGCTACAGAACTTCCAACTAAATACAGTTGAAACCATTAGAATATATATATAGCTTTATTATATACAGTAGTACTCTTTTGTAGCTGTTCAATTATATATATATATATGAGAGTGTGTGTATGTATGTGTAATTTAACGGAATTAAGGACCAAGTCAGGCCGGCCTTTAATTATTAGGTGGTGGAATGTTCAGTGGTTTCATTATAACGACGTCAAAACAGGAAGTGTTTGGCCTATAAAATGGTCTTTCATGCGTCCATCAAAAAGAACATCGCCATCTCCACTACTCAAACTTGTGTAGTTCTAGCTGTTTTGGCAACATGGAAGTACCTAAACTTTTCACTATTCTATTGTTGTTTAGGTTTGCAGTACTGCTTCATGGAGCCACCACCAACACAAAGGTACTCCTTCTCTATCTCTATGTGCATGTGTGTGCGAGAGAGAGTAAAAATGTCCTTGCCAATCTAACTTTTTAAGAGTGTAAGTTTTTTTTTTTTTTTATTATTTTTATTACAGTGGTAGGAAATTAATTTCCAAATATACCCACTTCTAAGGTGGGTTCACTATCTTTATAACTTCATAAAACTTCAAGGTAAGAAGATAAATTAAGAATATTAAAAAATAGTACATTGAATTTTGAATTGCAACAGTCAAGACTGGAAAGGTGGACATTTTTTTTTTTGTGGGTAGATCTTAATTTTTTATTTATTTATTTTTTGACTAATCAAGAAAAATTTTCAAGCAACAAACGAATTATGATAATTTTAGATTAAAACATTTATGATTGGAGATCTATAGCACAAGAAGTGCGAAAGACATGTATAGGATTCGTGCATAATGGTTGCATTAACAGAGTGATTTCTTCTGAAATCAGATCACACAGACACATACTTCTACGGTAGAGTCAGTAAGCATGCACACAAATACATACATAAATGATATATATACACATATTCCTATGGTAAATATATAGCATGCACACACTTGAGATATATGATTCTAAACTGAAATCCATTTTTCTTTTCTCCTAAAATTTTGCAGCATTACATAGTTTACATGGGGCATCATTCACATCCGGATTCAGATTCTGTGGTCACAGCTAACCATAATATGCTTTCTGCGGTTATTGGAAGGCATGGCAAAACTGCAGATGTTCAAATTGACCTTTATGTCCAATTTCGAACACCATTATCTATTAAGCCCCTTTTTCTTTTTCTTTCCTCTTCTTCATTTTTTTTTTTTTGTACAAATTATAAATTGAGGGTTTGTTGAATCACTTTTGCAGTTCTGATGGAGCAAAAGAAGTGGCACTTCACCATTACACTAAAAGCTTCAGAGGTTTCTCAGCTATGCTCACGCCAGATCAAGCTCAAACACTAGCAGGTCTGCTTCTATGATCCTTTAGTTCTGTATAAGACAAACTAAAAATAAAAACACTGAGTGAGGGAATATATATATATATTTTTCATAATTAGTTATAAAATTAAAAGAAAAATATATTACAAGTGCATAGAGGGCATACCCTCAGAGAAGAGCTAAAACAAAGTTAATGCTCTTAAGAAAAAGCCCATTTCCAATACATAAGGACAAGAGATAAGGCTCTAATGCAACAGGACAAGAGATAAAGCTCTAATGCAACAGGTCTTGAATGCTGATTCCAAACACATCCACAACTTCAAGTAATGTCTGTCTAGCCACCTCCTTAGGAGATCGATCCAATGAGCCATGACATATACCATTCCTCTGCTGCCAAATGCTCCACAATGCAACCACAAACAGAGTATGTCGACAAAGTTTTTTAGACTGCTTCTGAAACCACAAGAACAACTCCCAAAAATCCCTCGAACACGAAAACTGAAACATATCCCAGCCCAAAACATCCCCTAGCTAGCACCACACCTCCTTTGCAAACTGACAATCAAGGAACAAATTATCCCTAGTATCCACAACTTGTTTACAAATGGAACATCTAGATACCAGTTGTAGCTTCCTTTTCTGCAAATTAACCAGCGTAGGTAACTTGTCATGAAATAACACTCCATGCACAGACCATCTAGGTCTTGCCTTTCCCAAGACAATCTGCTCCATTCCACTTCAGTGTACTGAATTCTACATCTATCCCAAGCTCTCTTGAATGAAAAAGTCCCGGCCACCATCCCATATAAATCTATCCTCCCTATTAAGTATAGGGACTGTAACCGCATATTGCTTAAGAGGATCAAACATATCCTCTTGAAACAACTCCAAATTCCAATTCCCATTAACCATTAGTCTATCAATAGTTGAATCCCAAGGAAGCCCTAACCTCCTAATCATCCTATGACCAAATTTCTGCAGCAAGCAAGGTTTGGCCATCACACCAAGGATCCACAAGAGCTCTAATCTTCTGACCTGTACCAACAGTGAAGCCAATATTTTGCTGTATAATATCCCTGTGATTAACCATATTCCTCCAAATAACAGAATGAGTAGTCCTAGGCACCACAGTCCAATAGGTAGAATGTCCACCATACCTAGATTTAAACCAAGAAATCCATAGCCTATCTTCTTTCCATTGTCTGTACTACCCCAAATGAAATCTCTACAAACTTTTTGGATCTGGTTGAGAACTGCAAATGGAATTTGAAAAACATTGCACCAGTATAGGCAAATTGGAGTGATTACTGTTCTAACCAATTCCACCTTCCCTGCAATTGATAACAAATTAGTACTGATTTCGATTTTTAAAGGTATATTAAGGGTATTTTGGTAAAAAATGACTGTCAACAAATAATAGGGGCAATTTGCACATATCTTCAAATCCTAAGGATTTATATGCACATACTGAATGGCGATGTTTTTGCACAAATTTTATTTATTTATTTTAAATTTTATTCCAATTAGAGACTCCCATTATTCTGAACATTATTAATCAGAGCCATCACTAATCATTGGTCGTTAAGGCCTATTCTCAAAATACCTATATATCTACAGCTGTGGCAATAGGGGCGTTATTTGGTTGTAAGCCAATTTGACCACTATAAGTAGATAAAATGATTTATTTCACTTATGAATCTCAAACAATTCCATTAGGGGTTAATACAATTTCTTCGATCAAATTACTCTCCATTTCTAAGTTCATAGCCTTAAACAAATATTAGGGCAATTTGAACATATTTTTAAATTTTAAGGATTTATATGCACATACTGAATGGCACGATATTTTTGCACAATTATTTATTTATTTATTTATTCGAATTAGAGATTCACATTATCATAAGCATTATTAATACTGGACTATTGCTTCACATAACATTGTCTTTTTAATTTTTTCCTTTCTCTTTTCCCATTTTGCTCATGCTGCAGAAAGCAAATCAGTTGTTTCTGTGTTCGAAAGCAAGATCAACAAGGTCTCTACAACACATTCGTGGGAATTTTTGAGAATAGACTCTATTCAACAATATAATCACCTGCCAATGGATTCAAAATCCAACGTTATTGTTGGTGTTGTTGATACTGGTAATTATCCTAAAATACAGCCTGATTGGTTTGTAACTATAGAAATAATTTTATGTTTTTAGAAAATTGAAAACAGAAAACTGTACAAAAAATTTTGCTTGGTTCAATTTTTTGAAAGTTGAGTTATAAAAATGCTTGTTTTCAGAGAATTATAAAAGATTGTTTTCTGAAAACAGTTTTCTGTTATTTGAAATTTTTAAAATTGTTTTCAGAGTTACAAATTAAGTAGGCTCCAAAGTTCTATTCAACTCCTCTTTCAGAATAATTAAAGCCTCATCTTTTTCTTATTTTCAGGAATTTGGCCAGAGTCCGAGAGCTTTAGTGAAGATGGATTTGGTCCAGTTCCCACTAAATTTCAGGGAGAATGTGTCACAGGAGAAAACTTCACATTGTCCAACTGCAACAGGTATATACTAACTAGTTCATTGTAAATGCATGTTTTGACGAGTCTAACAGAGCCATTTGCGTTGATTTTCTAGGAAAATTATCGGAGCTCGATTCTACTTCAAAGGGTTCGAAGCAGAAAATGGGCCCATTGAAGATTTTGGCAGTCCTTCCTTTCGTTCAGCTCGGGATAGTGATGGACATGGTACACACACTGCCTCCACAGTGGCCGGATCAGTGGTTGCGGATAAAAGCTTGTTTGGGATTGGAGCAGGCACAGCAAGAGGTGGTGCACCAAGTGCTAGGCTTGCCATCTACAAGGCTTGTTGGTTTAACCTCTGCTCTGATGCTGATCTCCTTTCTGCACTGGACGATGCAATTCATGACGGTGTTGATATCCTCTCCCTTTCCCTCGGCCCTGACCCTCCACAGCCCGGCTATTTTGTGGATGCAATGTCTGTAGGAGCTTTCCACGCGTTCCAGAAAGGAATTCTGGTTTCAACATCAGCCGGGAATTCTGGTTTGCCACAAACTGCAACTAATGTTGCTCCGTGGATCCTTAGTGTCGCTGCAAGTACTATGGACCGTGAACTACGATCCAACATATATCTTGGAAATTCAAAAATGATAATGGTAAGCTTTTCATACAATATTCATGACTTCAAAGGTATCTTAAATAAGTTATTTTTTACTCAAAACTCTCATTTTGTTTGAGAGAGAAGGAAAAAAAAAAAAAAAAAAATTAGGTCTAACAAAACATGTTTGCAGGGTTTTGGTATAAACCCTCGGAGTTCAGAGAGGTATTTTGGTTTAATTACTGCAAGTGCTGCAGCATCCCCTGGAGTTCCCTCAACAAATGCAAGGTATCTTCTATACTAAAAGAGAAAAATGATTAAAACCTTCAAAAATGTCAAGAAAAATGTGACCTCTGGCTTCTATTTCTTCGCTAAGCCAATGTTTATACAGAATCCAATAAGTGAAATCCATAAACTTATTCTACTGATCTCATAATGACAACTTATGATGCTTTATTTTCTTCCTAACGCCCAAACACTATTTGTTTTCTTCTTCTAAAAAATTCATTTAAAAGAATTTTTTTTTTTTTTTTTTAAAACGTTCACGAGTCTACTAATTCTTTTGTGTTCAGAAGTATGTGAAATAAAATTTGAGAAAATGAATCAGGAACTTCTTAGGATTATAAAGACTGTAATAAGACCTAACAGTCTCTAATGGTACCATTGTATTTGTTTTCTAAAATCTTCCTTCTCTCTCTCTTTTCTCACATTTAGCTTCTGCAAGAACAACACTCTGGACTCAGCCGTAATCAATGGGAAGATCGTGGTATGCACAATTGAGTCAGTGTTTGATAACCGAAGAGAAAAAGCCATTTTCGTAAATCAAGGTGGTGGTGTTGGGATGATACTCATTGATCCCTTCCTCACAAACGTTGCCTTTCAATTTGTAATCCCGACCACTTTTATTGGTCAAGTAGAGGCACAAGAGCTTCAATCATATATGGCTAAAGAAAAGTAAGTTCCACAAGTTCATTTGCTGTAAACAGAAGAAACTTTTAATCCATTTACGTACGAATGTATTCATAATTTTATTGTATTTATTTTTTAGAAAAAGAGGAAATCAAAATTCTAATTCAATATGAATCATTCTGTTATTACAGGAATCCAGTTGCTAAAATCCAGCAGACAAATACAGTTACCTTCACTAAACCTGCACCAAAGATGGCAGTGTTCTCTTCAATGGGACCAAACATCATAACACCAGACATTTTGAAAGTAAGTTATATCATAAGAGAATGACATCTCCAATTTTCTTTTCACAATCCATAATTAAGTTTCAAAATTCATTATCAACACCAAATTTGATTAGAAAAAGCACTCAAATTTTTGTGAAAAATTTAATAAAATATCAAACTCTGCAAATCTCTACCTAAAGTTGCAAACATTTGAAATTGCAGCCTGATATAACAGCACCAGGTGTGAATGTTTTAGCAGCATGGTCTCCTGTAGCAACCGAGACCACCACTGCTCACCAATCTGTCAACTATAACATAATCTCCGGTACCTCCATGGCTTGTCCACATGTTTCTGCAGTGGCTGTCATCTTAAAATCTCTTCATCCTTATTGGAGTCCAGCAGCCATAAAATCTGCAATTATGACAACAGGCTAGTCGACGTTTCTTTGAGCAACATCGAAATCTTCTCAGTAATTCTTATATATTGCTACTCATATAGAATTTTGTTCTTGCAGCTACTGTCCTAGACAACAATGCAAACCCCATTCAAAGAGATCCTAATGGTGCCCAAACGACACCTTTTGACTATGGATCTGGTCACTTAAATCCAGTAGCAGCAACTGATCCAGGACTTATTTATGATTTTGATTCCAATGACATTATCGAGTTCCTCTGCAGTACTGGTGCTACCCCTCTGCAGCTAGCAAACCTCACTACCGACGCAGTACATTGCAAGTACCCTCCAACACCATCCTATGATTTTAACTACCCTTCAATTGGGGTCTCCAACATGACTGGAAGTTTATCAGTGCATCGAACGGTTACTTATTATGGTGAAGGCTTGACAGTTTATTATGCACAAGTAGACTATCCAAGTGGTGTAAAAGTTACAGTTACACCAAATAAGCTCAAGTTTTCAGAGGCTGGGCAGAAGATGTCTTTTAAGGTTGATTTCACACCTTACAGGAGCAGTAATGGAAGTTTTGTTTTTGGTGCTTTGACATGGAGTAATGGTCACCATACTGTTAGGAGTCCCATTGGCCTTAATGTTCTTTCTGTGTAGGATTTTCAAGTCCCTGTGATAACCATACTCTTGTTTTGGATAATAACAAGAAGGAAGTTTTAATTTTGCAGTTTACTCCATCTGCTTTTTTATTTTTTATTTTGGTTTGTTATACATCCAATTTATAAGTGATATATGTTGGGATTATATGCCCTTCAAGCCAATACTAATTGATATTTTTTTCTTCCAATTTGGTCATATTGCTTAATCTTTATTAAAAAATATATTTTCTAACTAAATACTAAGGTTTATGAAAGGAAAAGAAAGTATAACATTAGTTATGGGAGAAAATAAAAGAGAAGAAATGAAAAGATAGTGTGAACCACTTATGGTTGACTAATAAAAGCAAATAAAGGAAACAGGATTGATCATGTTTGGGGAAAGAAAACAAAAGAAACTATTTTAATAAATTTACTATCATACCATTTTCCATATATTTTGTCTTTTATAAAAATAAGGGTAAATTTGGTATTAATAAAGTTTAAATAAAAATGTTAGCATTTCCTTCCCTTTCCTGCCATTTCCTTCCGGTATTGAAAAGATAACAAAATTAACTCATCAAACTTTAATTTATCCCTCTAATCCTTTAATTCCCTTTCTTCTCTTTTCAAAATTTTATACCAAATACAAAGAACTTGGCCATAAAAATTGAATCTTCTATTTTCTAGAAAAGGAACTTGAACAAGTGAAAGGATCTAATAAACATTTTGAACTTAAAATTGATAATTTGAGTAGTGATTTTGTTAAAACCAATTAGTCGTTTTAGAAATTTGACACTAAAACTTGCAAATTTGATAAGTTGAAAGAAGTGGTTGAGGATACTAGTAATAACAAAGAGTTGGCTTCAACTTCGAAGGATTTGTGATTTCAAAATTCAAAAGAAGTTTCTATGAAAGTTGAAACCAAACCTTCAGTTGTCACTAGTCCTCCCAAGCTTGTTTCAAAATGTCATTTTTGTGGAGAAAAAGGCGATATCAAGTATAAGTGTCGGAAACGAAAAATTAAACTTGGGAAGAGAAAGAAAAATCTTGAAAGTTCAAAGTCTTTGCTTAATAAGTTGAAAGAAATTGAATTGAAGCAACCTGAATTGAAAGAATATTTGAATAAATTATTTTGCTTTAATTCTATGTATGAAACTCATAAAGCTAAGAAGAAGAAAAAGAACAAGAAGAAAAAAACCTTTTAAGCCGTGTGACACTTTGCCTAAGACAATTGGAAAATCATTGCATAATGAATCTAAAGTTGTTAATTAGGTAAAGAAAGATAGTTTTAAATGTCTTGCCATACACACTGCACTAAAATCACTTGGTCCATGTGGTTAGTACTTTGTTAGTGGCTGTTATAGGCATATGACAAGGGATATAACATTGTTTACCACTTTTAAGGAATTTTCAGGTAGTTCCATTACTTTTGGTGATGGTAATACTTCTAAAGTAAGTGGTAAAGGTAAAATTAAACTTTCAGGCATTGGGAAATTAAAGAATGTTCTATTTGTTAAAGGTTTAGCTGCAAATTTATTGAGTATTAGTCAAATATGTGATGAGGAGTTTCAAGTCAATTTTAGTCAATAAGGTTGTTTTGTTGCCAATAAAAAAGGTGAATGTATTTTGAAAGGCACTAGAATTTCTGATATTTGCTATGTTGTTTATTCAGAAAATTCACTTGGGTGTTTTTCTGCAATTACAGATGAGGCAATTTTATGGCATGTGAGACTTGGTTATATGAATTTTAATGATTTGGTTAATCTTCTAGTAATGATCTTGTTCGGGGTTTGCCTAAATTGAAATTGCCTAAGGATGAGGTATATGGGCCATATCAATTAAGATAGCAAACTAGAGTGTCGCATTAGAGATTTAGCCATAGAGTCACTTCTTGACCTTTATAATTGATTTATATGGATGTGATGGGTTGGCTAATACCTGATAGCATTGGCGGAAAAAGATATATGCTTGTAATAGTTGATGATTATTCTTGATTTAGATTTATTACATTTTTGCAAGCTAAAGCTAAAACTTTTGTGACTTTCAAGCCTATTTGCCAGTTGATTCAAAATGAGAAAGGATATAAAATAACTCAGATTAGGAGCAATAATGGAGGTGAACTCGAACCTAAGGAGTTTATTGTATATTGTGATGATATTGACATTAAGCATAATTTTTAGCACCTAAAACACAACAAAATAATGCAATAGAGAGACAAAATAGGACAATTGCAGGTATGACTCGTACTATGCTTCATGAACATAAAATTTCTAGTCATTTTTGGGCTGAGGTTGTACGTACTACATGCCATGTCCTAAATATAGTTTATCTTAGCTTTGCAACTAAAAAGATATCATATGAATTGTGATATGATAAAAGGCCCTCTGTTAAATACTTTAGAGTCTTTGGAAATAAATGTTATATCTTTAGAGATAGGGAGAATTTAGGAAAATTTGACTTTATAAGTGATGAAGGATACTTTTTGGGGTACTCATAAAATACTTTTTGGGGTTTTCATTTTAGTGGCCATAGCTTGCATTTTTGAGGAGTTTCACAAGGATTTAAACTTAAAGATTGTACATTCAAGAGGTAGGGGTGTCTAATTTATGGAATCCTTTATCCTTATGAGTTCTAATATGGTTGTGACGACCCTACGACCCTACGACTCTAGTTTTTCAAGCCAGTGCATTTTGAGATGACCCGAAGATTGACCCGATAACGAATCTCGAATGTCGAAGCAGAAAATAGAAAACAAGTCTCTAGAAGTGCAACACACCTCTAAGACACCAAAGCGACCTTCCATGTGGTCACGGAACTTAACGAGAACGTATGCGGAAGAAAAAGATAAAAAAATAGACCAATTATGCCCCCAAGGGCAAAATGGTCTTTTCATATGGAAACAAAGTCTCGAGAGATGTACGTTATCCCTAAGACATAATCATGACTTCCCATGAAGGCACAGAAACAAAAGTAAAACAAAGCGGAAGCGACGTTTTAAAAAGGGACAAGTTTAGCCCTAGGGGCAAAATGGTAATTTTTAGAAAGATTTGGGTGCTACCAAGCACACAATTGGATAGACGACGAAAAACATAATAAAGTTAGACTTAAAAATCACTTAATTCGGAGTCTGGACAAAGAAGAACGGCCAAAAATAAATTTGGAGACGTCGCGGCCAAGGGAGCAAGCCCTTATGCGCGCGCCCGCTCGCCCATGGGTGCCGCCAAGGTTGCTGACTGACAGCAGCTGATTTTGCTGATATTTCCAAAACAGAGAGCTGATTTGGACCCTTAGATGAATTTTTTTGGAAAAACACAAAGAAGAAATCCCCTTTAAAAACAAGTTTTCTAGCTGACCATGTCAAAAGAAAAAATTAAATTGCGATGTGAAATGCCCAGAATGCCCTTAGATCAGATAGGTGCTTAAAACCTTAAAAATGTAATTTTGCTTCAAGTGTGCATTTGGCCAAAATGAATTTCTGGGTTAAAACAATTATGCACGCAAACATAATTAGTGTTTTAAGATGTGCGGGAATGGTCCGTGACCCTCAAATATGCCTGATGCAAAATACAACCTATCAAACCTAAAATTTGCCTAAAATGACTTTCAAAAGGAAAACTTGAAGCCTTTCTTTTTCTTTTCTTTTTTTTTTTCTTTTTTTTTTTTCTTTCCCTAGTTGGGACTCACACACACTACCTCTACTGAGGTTCGAACTCCTGACCTCCCTTTGGGAAGTAGGAGCCTTGTACCGCTAGGTCACATGCCTGTTGGTAAAACTTGAAGCCTTAGATGCTTTCTAAAAACCATTTAGCCCTTGGCTACACCTCATATATATTAAATGAACCCTATTGAGTGTGCCCGTGTACACTTTGCACCATCTGAATTTTCCTATTTTTCAATAATTATGCATAAAATCAAAAGTACTTAAAAGAAGCAACTTAAAAGTAAATGGCCATTGGCCTTATCTCATACATATCAAATACATTACAAAGAGTGTACCTAAGTACACTTTACATATCATAAGGCATAAACGGCATAATGAACCTAACTATTCTTTACAACTTTATAAGTAAAACATAAACATGCTAACGCTTGCATGTGAATAAGAATACATTAAAAGTACTTCAAATTGACAAATCAACCTAGGGATATTGTACATCCCGAAACCACGTCTTCTTGCCTGAAACAAATTGCATTCAGTAGGGTGAGTAACTTACATTAATCGTAGGGAATGAACATGCATAGACCTAACGTTTTATAGGTTTATCAAGTTGATATGAAACAATTCACGTGGTTCATGCCACCTAACGTCTATGTCCAAGGTGAGACCAAATGAGCATCCTAAGCTATCTTAAAATGTTTCTAGCACAGACCACAATATTCATGCACGTAAACAACATAGGAGCATATGATACAATGCAACCAAATATAGATTATCAAAATTATCAACTTGAAATCTAAAATGCTAAAACGACTAAATGATACAACTTAGCATAATTGAAACATCTAATACAACGCAATAAGATATAGATTATCAAAGTTATCAACTGGAAATCTAAAATACGAAATCAATTAAAGTGGTTCATGCCTCCTAGCGTCTATGTTCCAAAGTGAACTAAAGGATTAGCTCAACTACTTAAATGGTTGAAATGAAATACAAAAATACACAAGTCTCTAAAGCAATCTTAAGACTTTATATACTAAAATCACAAGTCACAATTAAGCATTGGTTGCCAACTTGTAATTAAACGAGAAATTAAATAGTGGAATATCTTGGAAATCGAATCCCGAAATAGAACCAAGACGTAGTAGTTGATCGGGCTACTAACCCATGGGAACAACCTAAGTGCGCACTAGACGTCAGCAGTTACTTTGGGTTACTAACCCTCGGGAACAACCCAAGTGTGCACTATATTTGTAGAAGAAACTCTTATCCCCCGTACTAGGACCTTGCCCCAGCCATGTCAAATTGTGTGATGTCCCAAGTGTTTCCAAAATAAGTTCAAAACTTATATAAAATTA